TTTATATGCAAACAATTGTACATGCATCACGGCATCAACAAATTAAGTTTAGCTCTCCCTCTTTCTCTCTCTTCCTCTGTGTGTGTGTATCTCACCAAAACAATTATACCTCATCACATTTTATTTTATTTACGAAATAATCACTTTAATTTATTGAGGTTGGTAATTGTTTTCGGTCTCTATCTCATTTGATCTCTCTCTCTCTCTCTCTCTCTCTCTCTCACACACACACACTTTTGTTTCGCTTTTTTGCTGTATTTTTGTTTCATTACAGAGAAAAGTCAGTTAACATTTTATTCATATGCACGATTTTGGTTTTTGTGATTGGCCAAATTATTAAAATTCAATGGACACAAAGAAGCATACACATTTTGAAAATTGCACAAAAAGCACTTCACCATTCAACTTTTCGTCGACGACTGTGAAATGAGATTATCGTCCATGGTCCGCATGGCAAAATGCCGGCCGGTCGGCATAAAATCAGATTAAAATACATTAAAATGAATTATAAATGTGCAAAAGAGAGAAAATAATTCATGTTGATTTCAGCAAAAAAGCAGACACATGCTTTTGGTTTTTCGCCGCCACTGATAAAAACAAGAATGTTTTCCAATAAAGTCATTAATTGAATGAATTTAATAATAATGTGCTCTTGTACTTTCGATCGTATTTCATTTGTATTAAAATCATTTATGAAATATGTGTTTATGAATGCGGCAATGGGCTGCAAAATTCAAATGTCCTCTGACTGAAACAGCATAAAAATAAACAATGACAACATTTCACGACAATAACAAAAAAAAAGCATACAATACGTCAACAACAGTGAATTATGTTGAAGATGGATTTCATTGCGACAAATTGTTGTTACCACTTGCTGTGACTAATAGCATAAATGCGACGACAGTCCGTCTGCGATGACGTGAGCTCAACGAACATCATCATAATTTTGAAGGTGTCTACATTGCCATTCTCCATTTTTAATTACTCATCATATTATTCTGCTCGAATATATTTTTACCCGTCACCCGTACAAAACCATTAGATGGACATCGACACACCGAGTAATATACCATTGATAAATACGTTTATAAGTCATACGTTTGTTTAATCATTTCACATTTAATATTCCGGCAAATTGAAGAAAAAAAATCTTATCGACCAAAAATGTGAACACACATCAATAACAATGACTAAATACAAGCACAGTGCTTAATTGGACGTTTGGCCAAGGTTAAACTTGTTCATGATATGTAATCAAATCGTCATAAATATTGGATTTCGAACAAAAGCAACTACAAAAATTCGTTTGGTTTTCTGTTTTTATTTCTGCATTAAAGAATGTCCACCATGAAGAATTCGATTCTATTTCGAATGCCAACAAAGCAACATGAAAAACAAAAGTTTGCCATGCGTCTGCTGAAAGTAAAAGTGGCAATGACTTTATTACATGATTGCATGTTCATGAACTAGACTACAGTGTGTAACAATGAACTTAACTTACTTTATATTCTTTGGTGACTTTGGGTGATTGTATGTGCTTTAAACAAGCAATTTAAATTGCCAAATAAATCACAATTCTTGAAATGTACTACTTTTAATGAACCAAAAAAAAAAAATACATGTCAACCGTGGAAATGAAACGAAATCGAACGATTTCTCTGCAATGTACATTTTCTAGTAAACATTATTGTCCGCATGTCATGTTTGTTGACAATTCCACATTTGATGAATATGCTCATCATTTTTGTCTCTTGATTTCGAGAAAAAAACCCATCCCCTCTTCCAATATACACACCATCCAAAAGAAATGTGTGAACGAAAATATAAAAAAAGAACTGAGCAAATTACAAAGGAAGTATTTAAGTACCGGAAATTTAAGTGAATTCAATAAACAAGCATGGAAACAATTCATAGTGAATGGGTGAAAGATCATACGAAATTGAAGACTTTACTGTCATTGCAAACAGAGTCATCTCAACAATATCAAGTTTCTGATTGATTTGAGGGTAGAGAAATCGAGTAAATAAATTGTATGTGTGCGTTACGCAAGAGTTGATGATGCAATAATATACCAATTTATAGTGAATTGATGATCATGTGTTTGGCCATCCGAAAAGTTTGGAAAATTCGAAATAATTACGCTGCAACCAGTGGACCCCTCTTTTCTTTTTCAATTTAAATTGTCTCTTGCTCTGATTTGATCAACGGTCGATAAAATACAATAACCCCGTCTCCTCGTCATGTCATTCATTTTATGCATCGATTATCCCTTTTTTTGGCTTTGAGCTTATATTCTCTCTCGTTGAAACGAGTGAGACAAAAAAAGAGCATGCACAGCAAATTGCATTTGTTACAATCACAAATGAATGTTAACGAATCGTGACAGCAACAGCAACAAATTCACTCAAGTGATCCGAATCGCTTGTTGATGAGCACAAAATTCAATTTAATTTTAAATTTTCATTTCATCGATATGCACATAATATCCGATGTCCGATTGATTATACACGTAATACATAAAAACCAAAACATGCTGATGTTATGGAATAAATTTTAACAATCTAATGAATATTTTAACAACCCGTTAATCGGAATCGAAGGAGAACAATGCAATTAAAAAAAAAATAAGAGTTCCCATTTCTAATGGTGGCCTGTGTAAAATAGAATAAATTATTTATGCATTTAATATTTGACCGGTCAAACATGGTACATATGATTGGAAATGTTTCTGTCTCACTTTTTCAAATCTTCACATTGAATATTTAGTGTCAATTGCATTTTATCAACATTGCGAGAAATACAAGAATCGGATGGATGACAGTTCACATATCTCAGTAGTTTGTTTTAAATATAGATTGCATGTAATGACACGATTTTGAGCGGTTAAGTAAACAAGAAATCATCTATTTTCCACATACAAAATAACAAAACCACAAATTTTGTTGATAATAATGGGTGCACATATGACGCATATTCCACATTTTACAATTGCATTTGCATGTGCAACGCATTAATGTTTACAGTATCGTGAAATGAAGTTGTTCGAAATGCAATTAACATTATTATTGCAGCTATAAATTTATGATTATTTCAATGCAATATTTCGGTTCTTTAGACGCACAAAGTATACATTTCGACTAGAGAAAGTAGTGTGTGAGATACATTTGTGATACATTGCACCAAACGCAGAACAGCACTGCATTTGCTCAAAAACATGTTTCGAATGTATAACGATGATTATGTTGATGGCGATGATTCCGAGCACGTATGCCTGTGCGACACATAAACCTATGCATCAGCATCAGCATCAGCATCAGCAATTTTGACATATTGATCATAATTTATATACACACACACATACAAAATTGCAATGTCTTTCCACTGCAACTATAGTGACAAACGCTTGCAAACAACAGCACGATTAAAATTATTTATGCACTTTCAAGGTACATATATTATATCAATTCACAACTTGTCGTGCATATAATTCCAAATCCATTTTTCACTATGCAACCGAACAAGTTCATCGAAACATCTTCATGAGCCACGTTGACACCAAAGCTATTTTGGTGCGCATATTATTTATTTATATATTTATTTTTCTTTTCAATTTTGCTGCTGGAAAAATTCATTTCACCACGTTTTGCATATTGAAATTATCATATTAATCGTAAAGTGATTTGCATAAATGACGCATTGAAAATGATTTGCGGGAAAACTCTTTGTAAAACAACTTTTTAACTTGTGCATTTAATTAACGACAACGTTCGAATCTAGTAATGGTTGAGCAGAGAAAATAAAAGCTTCACATCGACCCTTTTACCCATCTCTTCTCTTCCCCGCCAAATAGAATGTTCACATTTTGTGATGAATTCTTTTGTGGCAATCACTTTACGAGCTATGCAAATGGTTCCATGAAAATGCACAGAAGATGCATACACTATATATGAGGTTGTCATATGCGGTTCAAATACACAAAACAACGACTAAATAAACTGACGGCCTAAGAAGAAAACAATAACATACAGAATATTCTGCAAAAAGACGAATACAAATTTATGTGAGCAAAAACCAAATATACAAACAGACAGCGCAAAGGTAAAACAGCCTACTTACATAAGAAACACATGTAAGTAGGCTGTTTTACTTTTGCGCTGTCTGTTTGTATATTTGGTTTTTGCTCACATAAATTTGTATTCGTCTTTTTGCAGAATATTCTGTATGTTATTGTTTTCTTCTTAGACCGTCAACTTATTCTCCTTCAAACAAAAGCGTAAAAAAACAACAACAACAAATAGACGAAAATTGTGCAGATTTGCACAAAGTTGAAGTGTTTAAGTTTTTCTTCATTTTATTATATTGTAATGGTTTTATCATTTGTCGTTTTATTAATTGGTCCCTGTTTATGAATTTAACAATGGTAATTTTTTTGCATTGTCACTTGAAATTACTACATTTTATCGGATGAAACATGCATTTTCGAGTTGGTTTTGGCGGTTTTCCCAGAACATCGCAATTTAAATTGAAATTAGTCAGTGATTTTTATCTCTCGGGACAGGTTCTATAAAAGCTCATTTCTGCTCACATGAATTACATGGCATAAAATGGTCATTGTTTTTGGCCAAAAACTGCATTGGTGAATTTGAAATGTGTTAGTTTCTTCATTGTTTCGTGTGTGTTTCGTGGTTTTATTTTTTTAGAATCGAATTTGAACGAACGCCAATTTGTTGTGAATAATAATTTGTTGGTTTTGAATTGAATGGACGTTTTTTTTTTCTGGAATCAGTCCAATTTCCGTTCCCTTTTGTGGAATTTGTTATGGACGCGCGCGGGTTGAATGTTTTGTTTTAAAATCAAAATATATATATTTATCGCGCCAAAAATCATTTTCGATTAATTTCATATTCACAATGCATAAAATTGCATGAACTTCCAATTTTTTTTTTGAATTGATGTAATTTATTAATCGTGAGCGTTATTTTTTTCTTTCATTACAGATTGGTCTGGCGCAAATGATCATGAACGAGTTCAACGACAGTTATCCGTGTCATCAGATAGCAAACTATTGGATGAGGATATACGTGAAGAGACCCGCGTTATAATGCGACCTAAAAAACCACCGAGACCAAAATCCGAAGTATTTTTAAACAAACAAGACCTGCATCCGCGACGAAAGCGGTTTAGTGCATTTGGTGTAAGTATACATACGTATTAAATTAAGAATCCAAAACTTGTGTCATGTATGCGAGGGTGTGCTCTTTGACTTATCTCCCATTTACAAACTTTCAATAAAGCAGTCAATTATTCGTCAACGCCGGAATATGAAAAGTTACTTCAACAAAGTTATTTTAAATTATCACATTTCCGCGAAATTCACAAAGAGATTGGCGGAGTTATGACGCATTGGTATGTATGCATACGACGAGAGCGTGCATGGATTAAGCCAGGTGATGCAATAGCATTTAGTGAAGCTACAGAGTTTGAAAATCTATTATGTAATATGTTGATTGAAGCATGCAACCACCAACGACGCATACACGAAACGACAATTGACAAACTGCGTGCAATGCCAACAGCTATGTTATGTCATATGCATCACAAAACACATACACAAAACATATTTAGTGCTTCATTAATAACTTTTCGCCAAGAAGGAAAACAATTTTCGCGTGTTAATTGTCTGCTATTTCCGCTTGAGGAAAACAGAATAGAAATATAGTATAACAAAAATAAAAAATAAAAATAATAAGAAAGAAAGAAACAAAGAGAAATAAGGAACTTTTGTTTATTGCCAACATAACTACGGGCTTCTTGTTTTGCTTCCAATTTTCTTGGCGTTACCATGCCAAGGAATTAGCACAATTTTTCCATTTCCTTGCTGGTTTTTCCCGTGTTTGTGCTTTGGTTCGTATTCGTTTCCAGATTCGTCGTTGTTGTGTCGTTGTCATGTTTTTTTTAATTAAAACTTGAACAAAGCCAGAGAGTAAAGTATGAAAAATATATTTTAATTTGATGAAAATACCATGCGTATTCGCCCCTTTGTTTGAAACTTTACATATATTGGCTACTACTCCCTTGAATGCAATCATTTCAACGAGTTCATATCTAGCGGAAATTTTTTTTTCTTATTTTTCTTTCAAAAAGGCTGCCTTTCATCATACGTGTCGATTCCGTACGCGTGGCTGTTTTTTTTTTCTCCTTTCAATTTTAAGATATGGATATAAACACTTTACAGGCTTCAATATCATCTTATGACGGATATTTGTGTAAGCCTCCAACTGACAGTTATTCGACATTATTCAGCATTTATAAGTCATTTATATGGTATCATAGCAATTCAGTGGAACAAGAAAAACTTGCCTTGTTACCATCAATTCACTCGCTTCATTGTCATGTAAATGAAAAGGCAAAATGAAATTTATTGGGAGAGCTTTTGGTCCGCGAAGCCATCTCGAGATTCCGAACGATATTTTTTGCCCAGAAGGTTTGCATCAGTCCAATTTTTTCGGTGAAGTCATTCAATTTTTTTGTCGATCCCTTTTATGCTTTTCTTTCACTTAAATGAAAAAATATATAAATAGCGGATGCTCATTGGGGAAAAAATTATGAAATGCTAGTCTATTCTTATGTTAGAACAATTTTTTTTTCATCTGCTTCGAATGAAAATACAATAAAAAACCCGACAACCACATGGACAATGATACTTTTCTTAATGTTATTGTTCAAGTGTTTTTTTCTATATGTACATCATTCAAGTAATGTTCTAGCATTGTGACGTTTTCAGCATGACGACGAAGGTATGGAGTTTGACGACGAATGCCATTTATTTGGTGTTGGCGTGTATGCGAAACAAATGATACTAAATAACAACTCCATTTGAGTAGATCATTTGTTCGATGAGTTTTTATTTCCATTTCGGTTTTCGTTCATATCCATCCCCCCTTTGTTTGGCTTTCGGTTCACATGCAACTCGTGTATGGTCGATTGTAATGAATACAGGTATAAAATAAATTTAGGTTGTTTTTTCTCCCCATTTTTCACAATGTCTTCCAAATAGCAAGCCCATTACCATCCTGTTCACTTTACATCGGTCGTCTCTGTCATCTTTAATAGCTCTTAGTTACCTGATAATAGAAAAAAAAACGCAACAGCAAAAATAAAGATAATAGAAGTTGATAGTACATGCATAAACATGAATATAAATATTTTCTCTGACACACATGATTTTGTTGTTCATCCATCGCATTTTGGCGTCGGCGACGGTGGTGGCAGTGAAGCTCAAATTGAAAATGTGGGGCATCCCAATGAAGGCTTGCTACATGTAAAAAAACAACAAACAAACAAGTAAATGCGCTGTCTACCGCGTGTACATGAAAGACAAATAATTCGCAACAAAATTCTCTTATCATAAATTTTCGTCTCGCCAATGTTCTTCGTTCCATTGGTGATTCATTCGCTTTATATTGTGTATCGTTGATCTCATACATGTTTCGGCTCTCTTTCCTTATTCCTGTAACTCACCGCCACTTACTTGCGCAATACTTGCTGAATCTTCTTCTTCTTTTTCCACCATACATGCACCTCTGTTACCACGAATAAGAATAAAATTCTAAATAAATATATGAGTATCGAAAGTTACGTGCTTTCTTTTTTTCGACTTCGTCTTGTTCATCCGTTCGTCGCATGGTTTCTCTGCCCAAACTTTTGCACACGAAATCGTGCAAACGAAGAAGATAAATCTTAAGTAAGTCTTATTCTCTATTTGCCATTAAGTAATACGTTTGCATCTTCAACAAAACATTCACGCCAAAATGTTAGAGATTATAGCAACAACAGAAAAAGAGCAACACGCTCACGGAGATAAGAGAAATAGAAAAAGAGATAGAGAGAAAGAGAGAGATAAAGTAAGTCTCAACAATGCTACATTATCAATCGAGCGATTGAAATTCATCCGGATTGCATGCACGAATGCCACATAGTATTTACCTCTCACATTTTTCCATAAATTGTTTCCATCGATTATCTGTGTATTCTTCGATGTCGATTATTTTGTTTATTTCCTTCTTCGATTTACTCTCAAATGTATTTTAATTCATTGAACATTTCAATCTCTCCTGCTTTCGTATCTCCGTTTCACTTTGGCAATGTGCCCCACTATGACTAGACCGCATTTTGTTACACATGGCATATAAACAACATTTTAATTTAACAGGAGAACTAGAAAACAACAAGATAAATGGAAATCGAAACAACAAATAAAATTAGATGTCGACGCGTCAATCCGTTTTTATCTGTCTTCATACATTTTCAATTTCAACTAGCATGCACATACGTAAATCAGTATTCGTGAAAACGCAAATTGAATCATTTGAAGGGGTGCATGCAAACATCCCTACCCGAATATATGGCAACGAACCGCCACTACTTTTAATGCATACACACAAACAAAAAATAATAATAGAAAAATGGTGATTTAAACATTGCAAACCACCACATATATTCTACTTAGAATTTAGACGCATGTTAGATAAAATCATAACAACATGTAAATGAAATACACATTTCTTGTTCGCATAATGTTCACTTTGCAGTGTTTTGTCGGCTGCTATCGTGCACAGTAGATAATAATTGAAATGAAGGTATGAAATTTTGCGAACGTCGGAGCGTCTGTGTGTGTGTGTTCGACTTGGCATGATGCCGCACTTTTCGCTTTATTTATCGTCAAACAAGAAAAGCGAATGTCTGTTTTGAATATGATTTTAATAATTTTCTACTTACAACCGAACGTAAATATTCAGATATTTTGACGTGTTCGTGTTGTTGGATTTTTTTTTCTTGCGAATCTTCGAAACTCTTTATTTACTTCTTTGAAAGTTATGTGCGTGTGTGTTGCAAATTGCTTAGATTATTTTATTCGCTAGTAAATTTTTTCTCACCATTTTGCTCTCTTCAGAATTCAATTCGACGAGACGCATGAAATTTCGGCTTAATGATCTTACATCCCCACGAACGAATGTTTTTGGGATGTTTTAACGGAAACTTTATGGATATACTTATGCAAAGCCAAGTTGTCTGCGTCCAATGGCTTAATACATGGTGTGTTATTTTTTCGTTCATGTTACGTTATTATTCAATTTTTCTCATTCTCTCAATGGGAATTCTTTTGCTTGTTCTTTCTACCTCGCCTCCACTCCCACCGGAGAATGAGAAATGGGATTCATGTCGGTGACAGAGATTTAGTTACAACGAAAAATGTTCCAAGTTATTTGCGAAATTAATTACACGCAGGGCAGAGATTCAAGGCGAACAGCACATATTCTAAAATTCACATTCACCTCGATAGAACCTTCAGCATAAACATTTAAATGAAATACTTATGAAACAGAATCGAGAGCCGGAGAAATTAAATGGGAAACATTTTTGAATGCGTATTACGTTGTGTTGTGTCTGTGTAAAGCGAGCTGTTATATTGCATAATTCTTATTAATCATTTCTACATAATCGATTTCGCCCGGTTAGGCAAATATGTTGCCTGTTCGCATGAGCTCAAAATAAAGTCGCAACTATTTCTTCAAGAAAATTGCATCCTCCACATATAAATTGTATTTAAGTCGATTTCAACGGATCTAAAATGTGCCCATATTCATTTGGTATTGACGTTGGCGATGAATCGAAACATATTAAATTCCGGAAAATAATTGAAAAAGTAATCATTCCCGGGCTAAACGATATGGCGGACTTTTTTTTCACTTGTTGTCTTTTCGTTCCATGAAATAGTATCTCCACTTCAGGAAGTATAATTTGCAAAAGAAACATTTTCATAGACTAAAGATGTAGACCGAAAAATGAAGGGAGAATACCCAGCCGGAATATGTCTTTTAGTAACTCGTCTGCATCGGCCCCTCGTACAATTATTTTTTTTTTCTCATCTGTCTCTCTCTCCGTCGTCAATTTAAACCCACTTCGCATTTCATTTCAATTAAAATTCACGTGTCTCAGTGAAATGAAATGCAATCCTTATCACAGTTGTACAATATTTGAATAAATTGTTGCTGAGATTCAAAACCCTTTCGTTAAACTTGTTCATTCAGCCATCTTTTTATGACGTGGGCGGCTTTTTTCATTCCGAAATGTGAAAATTTTCCAACAATTTCGCTATTTAACGCAATAACTGTGTGTGCACACACGCACACA